TTCTCATTTTTTATTTTTTTGTAAAGTAGCTCATTAGAAAAAAAAGGTTGGAGACCTTGTTATAGTCGTATTTACAGTGTTGTCTGCATGTTTGAGCATCTTTGCATGTACTTCCTTCATTCTTCATTTTCTTTTCTTAATTATTGATACACATAGCATTCGGCAGTGTTGTGTTGTTATTTTGGTACAAATGAAAAAAAAAAAAAAAAAAGAAAATCTCCTGCTTACTAGTGTGATCTATAGCTATCTATAGTACATGTTGAGAGATACACAGTGCTTTTATTTTGCTTTCCAGGGTTCCCACAGTCATGGAAATCCTGGAAAAGTCATGGAAACTGAAAAAATCATGGAATTTTCGTATCTCTTTTTGTATCTCTTTCATGCAACTACAGTGTTCTGTTATCATTAAGCTATTATGATTATTTCTGAACATTTGTGCCTTTTTGAATGTTAAAAAACTATAATCCCAAAGCATTTGGTGAGTGGAAAGTCATGGAAAATTCACTTAAGGTCATGAAAAACTCATGGAAAAGTGTTGAAATTTTGTCAGCGAAAAAGAGTAGGAACCCTGGCGTATGAAGTTTATGGCAATGCCAGCTCCCATTGAGTACCACAGTTTTTTTTTTTACTAGGAAGTGTGCACTTGTTTCTTTCATTATGTCATTTTAGATCAATTTTGTGATTTAAAATGTGTAAATTTTAACACAATGAACCACGGATGCCATAAATTATAACAATAAACCAGACACAAGCACAATATGTCTTCTTTAAATCTCCAAGGCTCCAAAGTTCTTATCAATCCACCACAAAATAACTTGAAAGAAATAATTTGTTTAATTTTACTCATTTTAAAAAAAAGTCAAATAGCTGTACTGAGTTGTTTTTGTTTTTCATCCTTGGAACATTTTTGTGACCCATAATTCCCGCAGGCGTCGCATAATCATCGCTGTATCTCCGATGAAAAATAGTTTTGCGAAGAGACTGTCAGAGAAAAGGCCATGTCAAACAAAACGCTGTCATTTCAAAACCCACATATCTGTTTTGTACGCTTACATCATCGGAAAAGTCATTATCAGTTGAACTTTGACAAAATGCGCGCCGTCAGTTATATTTAGTTGGAAGGAGCCAGTCGGACTTGTGAAATATTGAGTGCGGAGTTATGAAAAATTCAGATAGCGCAACAGGCTTTGAAGGCATCATTAAACAACAATTTGGCAAGTGTTCCGTATCAGACCTGAATTTGTCATTCTTTTGAAAGCGGATCAGCTGGCGGTGTGTTACTGTGGGGCTGTCAGAGCACTAGACTCCCGCCAGCTCCTCTTTGTAATGCTATCATAATTCTTCTGTGTCTCAGTGCTTACAGGGCTCAGTGCTTCTCTTATTGGACCACTGTGAAAAGTATCCGCACAATATTCCTGGCATTTTACTCTAGAGCAGCCTGTAAAATACATAAGAGATAAAAGTTGAGTTTTTAATATTGGATCATACTAGTTGGTGAAAAAGTGTGGCACAACTCCTGAAATATTTACACCAGTTTAGTTGCTTTATTCTTTTGTTGTACTATACGTTGTTAAAGTCCGTTCCATTATCAAAAACACGCCTAAAGATGTTATAGATGCATGTTTGACTATTTTAGTGATCTCCCTCACGCTATTTGAACCCTCCTTTTATTAGCAGTAAGATTCTGTACAAAGCTCCGCCCACAAGCTTACATCACCTGTATCGCCATACGACAATTCTCCATAAATATGCAAAAACATGATACAAAACTGTACGCAGCAGTTAGTCTTATTAATGGGATGCATGCTGATTGTGTTGCGATAGTGCTCTGAAGGGGAGTGGGACATAACGCGGAGAGCAGCGAATATAAAACATTTTAATATGTTACGTTGTTTTTGGTTAATATAGCATTTATAGGAAAAATATAACAAAATATATATTAACAAAAACAATAAAAGCAAAGGAGAAATTCTGTTCTGTCAACTGGACTTTTTTTTTTTTTTTTTTTTACTGAATAGCTGCGTCTTCAGTTCTTAATGAAGAATGCTTTTGCCTTTGCTATGGCTACCTCCACCGAGATTTCATGAACAAAAACTACAAATGCCTGATTTGTGAGCTGCTTTCACTTCGTGGAAACCGTCGCAGCATTAGAATTCGTTCGCTCGTCGGTAGGTGGGCACTTTTTTTATTTAACCAATCGCTGCTATTTGGTCGTGACGTATGTAATGCACCACTAACAGGGCTAACTGGTATATTAAGCTTTTCCCAAATCCCGTAGGAAGAAGGACAATAACGTCTTTCCCCTTCACTAAACATTCTCTTTGTTCTGGCTTTAAATCCTCGATCTCGGGAATCATTGCCAATACAGAATGTCTGTCTTTGTTTACATCCATCTCGACCACTTTGTTTACAGTTGTGCTGTTCCACAAAAGGGACCCAGACAGGCACTTGAGTTTGACGTTATTGCTTCACAGCTCTTCACTGATTGGCTGGTGCACGGGCTACAACTTCCGGGGTTCTTGCAAACCGTCTAGTGTATTCTGATTCCTGACCTAGTCACTGGAGAGAGGCACTAGGTGGTGCCCCCTGGCTAGGTAGAATCCATGCCAAAGGAGAAATTTAATTTGTCAACTGGATAGAAGTTTTTTGGGGGTCTTTTTGGAGGGCTCAGATATCATCTGTCTCCTATTTACAACTCCATCCTCAGGCCTAAATCAAAACAAAGCAAACAATATGGATATCCAGGTCAGGCCCAGAGGTGTGAAAGCACCCATCAGGGGCCTGAATGATTCTGCTAATATGATTCCTTGGCTGGGTCTATTGAACTGCACTAACAAACAGAAACTGTCATCAAGTAGATTCAGAGTAGAACTGAAGAATGCTTTTGCCTTTGCTATGGCTACCTCCACCGAGATTTCATGAACAAAAACTACGAATGCCTGATTTGTGAGCTGGTTTCACTTCGTGGAAACCGTCGCAGCATTAGAATTCGTTCGCTCGTTGGTAGGTGGGCACTTTTTTTATTTAACCAATCGCTGCTATTTGGTCGTGACATATGTAATGCACCACTAACAGGGCTAACTGGTATATTAAGCTTTTCCCAAATCCCGTAGGAAGAAGGACAATAACGTCTTTCCCCTTGATAAAATACACCAAACATTGTATTTGTTCCAGCTTTAAATCCTCGATCTTGGAAATCGTTGCCAACACAGAATATATGGCTCTTGACCTGACCTAGTCACTGGAGAGAAATGAAATTGACCAGAGGCACTAGGTGGCGCCAAATGAAATTAAAATTGTGAACTGATCTCTGCAACAATCTGATATTTTTCCACTATCGTTTTATCACGATTCAGTGCTTCTGTGTTTAATGCAGGTCTATGCTCAAGAACAGACATTTTTTAACGTGCAAATAGCTGTAGTTTCCTTTCAAAGGCAGCATAAAGTTGTAAGTTTACATGAATGGTGAGAAAATCATAATTATTACTAAATAATAATCATAAATGTAGGCTCTATTACATATTTCAGTTTTGGATTTCCATGTTCAGTGCATTTCATATGACTAGAATCAATATGAAACCAGTTACAAAAAATGATAATTACCATAACAGTACAAAAATAATAAAACATTTGAGTGTTGCCAGTTGTGGTCTTCAGAAGTACATTCTGGACGTAACTACTATGATTAATGATCTAATGTCTGGACTCTGGTATGGAGGATGTGGCTGTGGATTATAAGCAATGGTACAAAATTTCCATTATACCTGATAATGATATGATAGAATAACCATAATCATAAATACCATGTTGAGACGAATCCATATATCATTTATTCATTCATTTTTCAAAGTAAAACCAAAAATAAGAAAATGAAAAAACAACTGTTTTCTTCATTATTTGTCTCCAAAACCAAAATGAAAAAACAATTAGATTTTTCATTTTTCAGTTTTGTGTTTAAATGAATAATGCAAAAAAGGAACAGAACGGCCGTTTCCTGTTTCTATGACTTAAACTGCAATGCCGGTCTTTTGCGCCATATACGGACTGAACCGGGACTGAACCGGGACTGAACCAGGACTGAACCAGGTCTCAGTCCTGGCCTCAGTCCCGGTCTGGTCCCAGTCTGGTCCCTGGTTCCTGATCACCGAACAGTCTACGCGGGCACACGTCTGAACCAGTCCTGACAGTACCGATTCAGTTCTGGTTTAGGATTGAGACCGGACAAGGACTCAGACCAGGACTGAGACTGGTTTAGACCTGTTTCAGTCCTGGTTCAGTCCGGCATTGCAGTTTAAGTCACGAAAACGAGAAAACGTCCATTATCCCTTTTTTCTATCATTCATTTAAATGCAAAATCTAAAAATGAAAAAACGAATCGTTATCCATTTTTTCATTTTGTTTTTGGAGAAAAATAATAAAGAAAATAGTTTTTTGTTTTTTTTGTTTTCTTATTTTTGGTTTTATATTGAAAAATGGATGAATGACTGATACATGGATTAAGACAGTATATGTGCAGTTGTGTATTTTATAACGCTTAACAAAAAAAAGGGATGATTTAACTCAAAAGAAGCTTACAGTGTTTCCCACAAACCAAACCACAGCTTTCCACATAGGAAGTGTGCATGGGGCAGTCTTCTGGCTCAATCAGTTCTGGTTCTAATTGACGTCATATTGAAAAACTCTCGCCCCTCCTTCTGTAACTGCTGCTTTGATCCTCATCATTTTGGTCTTAAAATGTTTGTACTAACCCACTCTACATGATCCTCATGTTTTTATTTCGCTGTTTTGTCCAGAAATAAATTCCCATTCATAATTCACACCTTCAACGTCCTGCCTTGGTGAGCTTCATTTCACTGGAGCTATAGTGACGCCACACTCCCTTAGCCCACTTCTTTATACAGTCTATGCTCATACTCTTCCAAATGCCAAAGTCTGTCCATTGTATTCATCACACGTATCTTTGTGTACAATTTGAAATAACTGTTCAACTCTGCCTCCAGGTGACGTACGGCTCTTTCGACTACACGTCCCTGCTCTACCTGGCCGACTACGGCAGTGACTTCACCGGAGGCAGGTTCATCTTCATGGATCAAGACGGCAACCGCACAGTGGAACCACGGGCAGGTACTCACGCCTCATAACAAACACACGTAATCCAAGCTAATAACCCCCGCTAAAGCCCGCCGTGCTCAGGGTAAGCCTATTAGAACACTTAGAGATGCGAGATAAATGCTTAGGAGGAGGTCAGGGGCTGCGTGGTGGTAAAGGTAATTCTCATAAGTGCACAAGCACGCTGGATGACGCAGGAAGAATGAGATTTAAAATGAATTCACTGGAGTTTGCTTTTCAGAGAGCTGCTATTTATATTTTCCATCGAAATTGTTAAAACCATGCTTTGTTACTTCAGTGCAGAGACTGAAAACCAGCATTTATCTCCTTAAAACAAAAATAAAATAAGACACAACTGATCCAAATGTTATCGAGATGTTATAACTACAGAACAAATTTGTAGGAATACAAGATCAAAGATCAAACATTATGAGACTTTCTGGGCAGACTACGACCAGTAAACACCAGGGATGTAACAATAACTGAAATATCGTGGTATCGTATTGTCAAAAGTCTCACAATAATATTGTCGGCTGTCATAATAACTCAAATTACAATTTTCTTTGCTGAAATGCCTTGTTTTATAGTAGCAACAGCTTATAAACATCAGGAACTACATATCCCATGATTCATTTCAGAGCAGACAACATGAAGAAATATGTTTTTTACTTGAATTCTTGGGATTATGACGGAAATAATTCACACCAAAATCTTGTCAAGGTATTTTAAAAGCAAAAAAGTGTCCCATCTGCAATTATATCAGTCCCTCCAAAATATCGCACTTAATATCATACTGTGAGATTTGGATATCGTTACATCTTTAGTAAATACTCTTATCACTAGGGCTGGGTGTCATTAAGAAGTTGTCGATACATACCTCGATATATAGGCCACAATGCAATACATATCTTGATACAGTGCACTTTTTATTCGATACGATATATTTCAAAATGATTCAATACAGTTTCAATAAAAAATAAAGGCTAAATCATGGCTGTGATACTAAAAGTCTTTGTTAAACCATTTCTTGTGCAAAGTTAATTTGAAAAATGTCCATTTTACTCATCTAAACAGTGAAAATGTCAAATGTGTTGGATAAACAAGTTTCCTTCCTCTAAACAACCAACAAAACTGTAGCACTGTAACAAAATAAGTTAGTAAAATGCACCAAAAATTAAAATTGGCGATATATCGATACAGCACCCCACGATATCAATATTGTATCATCACATTAAATGATAGGATAAATCGATATTTCAATATTTTTGCACACCCCTACTCATTACTTTAATTTATTTGCCCAACTAGGATATCGACTGAACCGATATTTGGAAGCCAATGTTCAATCCGGCCTTTTCGTTATCAGTGCTGATATCCGATGCCAGTATTGGATTGGTGCATCCCTAAAATAAATGTGCTGCTTTTTTAGAGGAAACTAATGCTGATAGTGAAGAGTTTATAAATACAAGTTGGAAACCACTTCTTACTTAATTTAGTTTATGTAAAGAAAACATATGCTTTTTTGGTATTTGTTATTAAACTATAGCTTGTACATATCATTATTCTACATTTTGTTTTTAAAGGTCCTATGATAAGCAAAATTGACTCTTGTAAGCTTCAAGCAATTATAATGTTGTTTCATTCACACATACATGAGCAGTGTTGGGAGTAACATGTTAAAAAAGTAACAAATTACTGTAAGCCATTGCTTTTCGCTGTAACGTAGTAATGTAAGACATTACAGGGAAAAAAGGTAATATTTTACTCTGTACAAATGGTACACGTGGTGGGTTTTTTGTTTTTCTTCATACAAATTTGCTAAAATCACAGCGATATCAGCAGAGGTGAAATGTCGTTGTTACGGTTCCAAGTGTCGGGACGGGCCTAGAGGTGCGCCCAAGTAGAGTGTCGAGTAACTGCAGGTGAAAGAACCGACGCAGAACTCCACGCTCCACAGGGCAAAGAGCAGCTGACGCAGCTTTGTGGATACCCTGCTTAGGTCTTAAGTCTTAGTCCTGGTTCAGTTATGGTTTAGTTCTGGTTTAGTCCTGGTTTAGTCCTGGTTTAGTCCTGGTTTACACCTGGTTTAAACCTTGCTTGGTCCTGGTTTAGTCCTGGTTTAGTCCTGGTTTAGACCTTGTTTAGTCCTGGTTTAGGCCTGGTTTAGACCTTGTTTAGTCCTGGTTTAGTCCTGGTTTAGACCTTGTTTAGTCCTGGTTTAGTCCTGCTTTAGACTTGGTTTTGTCCTGGTTCAGTTCTGGTTCTGTCCATATACGTCGCAAAAGTTCAGCATCTTCGCTCGCTGATTGTTATTTGACAATCAGTGACAGTTATTTTGTTGAGAGTAATTTAAAAGTGCTGTAATAGTCGTGTAATGTTTTATATTTTAAATGCAATAATATTGTAATGTAACAAATGACTTTGAAATGACAGTAACAAGTCATAAATAACACATTACAGTTTTGGAGTAACTTGTCCAACAGTGTGTATGAGTAACACTTTATTATCTGTATCTGTATTATTGTATGTCTACATCTCCAAAAGCTCAAAAGGCTTTGTTCCACCTTGTGATGTCACAAAGTGGTTGTTTTCAAGTTTTACCTCAGCAGAGATGATTAATTCCAGGGCTGAAATTATCCAAATGATTTTAGTGAGAGTTTTTTCAGTTTGAGAGAACTCTGAGCAAACAGTATCATTTTAATAAACAATACTGTTTCCTCAGTCATTCTTCTGACTGAGAAAACAATATCAGAAAACATTACGCTATTTTCTGATATTTTTTGAAAAACAGCACTAATTCATTAAAAATTGTTTGCATTCCAAACATCCTAATTATTCACCATGATGAATAATACTGAATACTGAATGCATCAACAGTTTTCAAAACTTTCAGAGACCAGAGTGTTATATTTGTACTTAATCGAGACAAAATATATTTGGCTACAGGCCGTTTACCGCAAGCAGAAGCAGAAACCGCGTCTGGCATTTTAATAGTCCCCAGTGCACTGAAGAAGGATCAGAAAAACGAAATGTATTTCCTATAGAGCTCACTGTCGCCACGGGAAATGAGAATTCACTCAGGTTCGAATCTGGTGAGGAAAAAATGTGCTGAACTTTAAATGCTTGATATATTTGTATTAGGGCCTGACTGATATGGATTTTTTTGGATCCGTTATGATACTGATAAAAGGGGCTTTGGAGGTTATTGCCGCTATAACAGCCCATATATTTAGTGATGCAAAAATAATAGACTGTAAATCTTCAACTGCGTATTAACCTTAATGGCATTTTTGCATTTTTGCATGACATTCTAGCCAGTAAAAAAATAAGTAAACTACTGCCTACCTTTTAGCAGTTAGCCTAAATGTGTGCACACTGCTGTAATTAATTATATACATAAATGACAGAGGAGAAATTCAATTTGTCAACTGGACAAAAGTTTTTTGATTGATTACATTTTGCAGCTCATGCAAGCTGCTTCTTCAGTTCTGGTCAGACGCTGGTGGACACTGCCTTATATCTGCCTGAAAGAGGGGCTAACTACAATGAAACTACTCTGAAACTAACACATCTACTTGATGACAGTTTCTGTTTGTTAGTGCAGTTCAATAGACCCAGCCAGGGAATCATATTAGCAGAATCATTCAGGCCCCTGATGGGTGCTTTCACACCTCTGGGCCTGACCTGGATATCCATATTGTTTGCTTTGTTTTGATTTAGGCCTGAGGATGGAGTTGTAAATAGGAGACAGATGATATCTGAGCCCTCCAAAAAGACCCCCAAAAAACTTCTATCCAGTTGACAAATTAAATTTCTCCTTTGACATGGATTCTACCTAGCCAGGGGGCACCACCTAGTGCCTCTCTCCAGTGACTAGGTCAGGAATCAGAATACACTAGACGGTTTGCAAGAACCCCGGAAGTTGTAGCCCGTGCACCAGCCAATCAGTGAAGAGCTGTGAAGCAATAACGTCAAACTCAAGCGCCTGTCTGGGTCCCTTTTGTGGAACAGCACAACTGTAAACAAAGTGGTCGAGATGGATGTAAACAAAGACAGACATTCTGTATTGGCAATGATTCCCGAGATCGAGGATTTAAAGCCAGAACAAAGAGAATGTTTAGTGAAGGGGAAATACATTATTGTCCTTCTTCCTACAGGATTTGGGAAAAGCTTAATATACCAGTTAGCCCCTTTAGCGGCGCATTACATACGTCACGACCAAATAGCAGCGATTGGTTAAATAAGTAAAGTACCCGCCTACCGTTGAGCGAACAAATCCTAATGCTGAAAGGTCAGACGGTTTCCATGAAGTGAAACCGGGTGATGAATCAGGCTAGATTCTACCTTGACAAGTGAGGGATTTTACATACTTATATACATAAATGTGGACCATTCACACATTTATTCACAGATCATTTACATATCAGTGTAGGTCCAGTAACGTCACTATGGTCAAAAAGAGCATCCGGCATGTTGACATATATTGGTCAGGCTCTAATTTGAATTATAAATCATTATACAGGTTGCAGTATTTTAAGTAACTTCATTTCCATCACAAAAAAGAAAATATCTGGTTTTATGTCATATTAAACTGCTATTAAATCTGTACAAACATGTTCTGAACTGTGATTCTTCTGAACTTCTTCTTGGTTAGTCAGCTCATATTTTAGTCTTATTGTCAATTTTTCTGGATGGAAGTCTTAACGCTGGCAATGCTTGTCAAAAAAATCACACGGTTTAGCCTTAAGCTTTATATTCGCTGTTTATTTTCAATCTGAATCTTGTCCTTCAGAGGATAAAAACATTTGGTGCGAAGTTGGGTGAGATCATGGAGGAAAATTGGGCTGTTCTTGTATTTGTCACATTTCATTAAAACACCTCCATCAAAACATTTTTAGTTGTTTTTCTCTATTAGGCTGTTTGATAATGCTCCAGAGCTTTGTAATGTGTTGGAAGGTCCATTTTATTCTTGGAATGACTTTTCATTTCCCAGTACTATGTATGCTCGATATTTA